TGGAGAGCAAATGTTTTGAGAATGATGAGGGCAGAGACTGTGCGGATGTGCTTTACACAATTGACGTGTGTATGGATTGTGATGAAAGTTGTATGAGCCTCCAATAAAACGATTTTAAAAAGTTCATGGACAAATTGAATTATAAAATAATGGAATTTTTCCTTGAACTTTTCGAAGCACCTTCATATATTGAATAGAAACCACACCACCGAGGAACCCCCTTGCAACTGATTGACTGCTCACATCAGATTACAAAATGAGAGATGATTAGATAGCTTCTGCCAAACCAGCGAGGTTCATGCAGAGTTGAAAAGTAACCCCAACCTTCACACTCCTGCCCACTTATAGGCCATGTGTCTCCGAGGGCCCCTCCCTCCCGCTCTCCCAACTCCTGTGTCTCAGAAGTTACCCAACTCTAAGCTCCTTTCATTTAACTCTGACTATGTGGGGGGAGGGGGGAGTAGCCTTTTTCTGTGCAATGTTTTTATGGTCAGAAAGGAAACTTTCATCTTGAATGAATGTTTTTATAATGTATCAAAGTTCTTTTCCCTGGGTTGCCAAGAATATTACTTAGCTGGTTATCGCTGTGGAATCTGAACCAGCCTGTGGGCCTTGTGCACTTTAGGGCTGAAAAATACTGAGGTTTTGGAACCTACCCTCACGCTGTGAGAGAAGACTAGCTTCAGATAGCAGACTCAGTACTTTGTAGTTCATGCTCAGTAATCCTTTGTGTAGATCCTTTTCGCTCCTGTCTGTTGCTTTTGCAAATACCAGCTGACTTTTGTTAAAACCAACTCTTGGTATGTGGCACCAGCTGTGAGCACTGTGGAACTCAACCAGAGCAGAAGGGGAGGCTTGTGGGGGCAGGCTGAGAGGTCTGGGGACCTGCCTCCCCACCCCCACCCCCAGGAGAAACACATCTGGGCTCATTATGAAAATATCACTTCGCTTTTCTTGTGTAATAAAGACCTTTTCATTCTCTCATTTTTCAGCAAGTTTTTTCCTCCTCCAACATGGTCTTAGGAGAACAAGGGCCTGGTTTATGGTCCTCAGAGTCACTGTGCCTCCGCGCGCGCGGCTTTGCGTACCTGCTACACTCTTCATGTTGGCACGGAGGTCTTGCTCCTTGCATACATACCGTTCTTGCGCTTTTCTGCTCAGGGCTCGATTGTGTGTACAGGTGTGGTCCTGTGCTGACACCGGCAGGGAGGTGGTGCGCATAGAGTGAGTGAGTGTTCATCAGAGACCTGAGGGGTTTCGGAGACCATTCCTCTGTGCAGGGGGCTTGTTCTGGGAAGGCTCACAGGAGCCTCACAAGCACACCAGAACCTCTTAAGGGCCCAGGGTCACATCAGCCAGAGGGTGGTGGTGCGGCCGATTCTCCCAGCCCCTAGTTCAGCTGTGTGCAGTGTCTGTCACAGTCTTGTGCTCATCGTTCAACAGGGACTGGCACTTGCAGTCTGGAAACGCTTAGACCTGACCACACACCTGCCTTCTCCCTCCTCTGCTGTTGGTGTCCTGGGGCCAACTTGGCCAACCAGGCATGTGCTTTCTGTGTCCCTCACATACGTGCTGCCCTTGGACTTGATAAGATTCCACACTGAAGTGGCTTGCCCTGTGGACTTGGCCCTGGATGGAGCTAGGGACCTGGGTCCCCTGCTGTCCTCACGTGACATGAGCCAGTCTTCTATTTGATATCATACCTTTTTTTTTTTTTT